CCCCAAAACCCCAAAACCCCAAAACCCCGCCAGTCATAGTATAATTTGGATAAAAGATTATCAAATGAGAGGAAATATAGCAATGTCGATATTTTTAAACACTTGCATTTATCACATTAATTGAGAAGCATCCAGAAATGAAGTTTCCCATTGATGAAATTAAGACTTCGTAAGCTAAACTAATTCTATGAATGATAAATCTTTCTACACTGATTTATCTATGTTTTTGCAAGACTAGAATCGCAAGCGAGGTTAAATAAGCTTTAAGCGGCACTGTATATTGCTGTCCAAGATAATAAAGTTAGACCAATTTTCATGTTGAGGATATGATTAAGTCAAATCTTGGATCTGCAAGGTCGAGTTAATCTGATGATCAGCCAAAGTGTCTAGAGTATAATCTTGGGTTGTGTAAGTTTGATCTACCTTAGAGTTGATCAAACTGTTTTTATTTTATCTTGCTGGAAGATTTTAGATCTATGAATAATCGAAATTCATTTTATATATTAACTTATCTTTGTCGTATTAGTAACTGGTAGACTTGATTATATGCTTCATCAATTTCTGAGCATTATTGGTTGAGAACTTTAGTATCCTATGAAAGGGTTGCGCAACTTCAAATGATATATCTCGCTAAGCAATTATATATCCATCCTATGAGTTGATGTCCTCAAGAACTATTTGTGGGGATCTTAAAAAGACAATGTAGTTCTAAGATGATGATTAAAATTTGCTAATCTTAAACAAATCTTATTCTTGAATGCACTTCTCATAATTCAAGTATAAGTTTTCATTAGAGAGTTTAATTTTAAGATTAAGGTCAATTTCACTCATTTCAAACAGTTAATCCTCAAATATCGATTAAGACTAGAAAATATAAACTAGGATTTATCTTACAAAAATGTGATAGTTGCTAAAATCATAGATAAGCTTGTGGACATCTTGAATCGTTAATTGTCTTTTATAAATCTTGTTTTCAATCATAAATCTAATCATAGGCATCCTATATTCAATTAGTTGCTATAAAAGATTTACTTTATTTTTACATTGTAGACACTTTTGCCATCTACACCCATGAAATGACTCTTCATGTAAAACTTCCCAACTTCCTATCTCTTTTCAGCCGGACAATGTCCTCTTAAGACTTCTTATAACCTAGCTGTGTTAAAGCCAATTGAAATGTCATCACATTCAATAATTTAAGCCAAAACTTCATAGGCTTAGTCTTCTCTTAAAAAGAACACAAACGGGAGAAACCTGAATGGTAAATAATCAATCATTTTAGCATGATATTTACCACTGGAGTCTAGCTTAACTCCGGTAAGCTTAAATGAAGCAATTCTAGCCTTGACATCTTTGCCATCTTAAAGCCTCATAGAATTTTATACTTTGCCTAGTTCTACTTCATGAATTCCTTGTTACTTATACTCTTTCATAATTAAGTTAAATTCACATTTTATATCAGACATCTCCATGAAAGGGTTGTTTATCAACTTATGAACATTTTGATAATCAGCAATCTCGATTATCTAACTGTATTTAGGTATGTATTTCTGCTTGCTCTGAGTATTTTCTATCATTTTCGAGACTATCATCAAATTAGGATCATCCTCTAGGATAGATTTTAAAGTTTAGGCATCTGTGTTTTGAAATAACTAGTTTTTTGAGAGATTGTTCAATGATTACAAGATCAGACTGTTTTACTCTAGACCCCCAAAATTTAATTGACTATTGAATGAGTTGAAATCTTAATGTTTTAGAATGCTGTTCTGATTTTTATTATACTTGCTAAAGAACGAAGAATGCTAGTTTTTAATCTAGGGAGGTTGTTTCTGTTGATCTTCCAAAACAAATTTCATTTGAGTTTTAAAGAACTCTGATCTTGACTTGAACAATTCTAGGGTGTCCTTTAGCTTCTTGATATCGTTTGCAGGATCAATCGTCTATTGTTGCTAATTTCCTTGTTGTTTGGCAGTATTAAATTCATGTACATCTTTGTTTCTCAAATTGTTAATAGCTTACTCTAGTTTATTCTGCAAATTCTCAACTTCTATCAAGGTTGGTACTACTTTCTCTTCCTTAATATTTTATGTTGAGGGGTTTCTGTGATGCTTACAAAATTATTTGTTTACATCTAATCGATTTGAATCGTTTTTGACAGGAGATGAGTTATCATCAATTACATGAATCATTTTATCTAGCTCATCCAATTCCTTTAGTCTTTCCAAATTAAAAATCCTCAGCTTTTTTATAATATTTTGCCTAGTTGTAAGTGTAGGATGAGCAAATCTGCATCTGTTTCTAATTTCATTAGCATGCTATTGACTCAATTAATTGCCTTCGTTAACCAATATCTTTTTACTTTTTGATTAAAGTCTTAAGATTGATTATTGCTTGATGTTAGGAAGAGTTCCTCCCTAGACCTGCTACTACGAGCCTGAGAATAAGCTTTGCTTCTAATCATTTTCATTTATTAGTTCAATTGACAATATCTTTTAGCTTTTTATATGTGGGAGCTGTAGAGCATTTCTAACCTATGAAATAGAGTTTAATTTTCCATTCCTGGTCTTAAAACTGCTCTGATTTTGTTTTTCAAAAGCAGCTTATTTGCTATATTAGAACTAATAATCATTAGCAGCATCTATTTAAAGTTATTTCTGTTGCTTTTTAATCATTGTAATAAATTGCGGCTAGCCTATAGACTTAGGACTAATGCTGTAGTCACTGAAGTCAGCCTGGACCTGCTTACTAGCATTATTTAAAGGATTGTCTAGGATTTTTAAGGGGATAGTGATATCATTTTGGGAAGGCATTGAGGGCTGAGAGGATAAAGCTGGGGTAAGATTTAAAAGTTTAGATCTAGTGCCAAAGCTATTTTACTTCATTAATACTTTTATTATGCTTTATATATAATTTACTCTATTTTTCTAATAAATTAAGATAGTGGGGTTTTGGGGTTTTGGGGTTTTGGGG